CGCGTAACCCTTTTCTTGACCCATAACCCTTTACCAAACCCTACCTCTAACCCAACCATATTCAATACGTGATACCGTCTTGTGGCCATGTACATGTACTACAAGTTACACAAAATCATTACGTGATGCCCGTTGCTGGCTGCAACGTGGGCGCCTCCCCAAATACGATGGTGGACGCTGCATTCACCTGTGTACCTGTGGTGCCACGACCGCAGAGCAACTCCGCAAGTGCCACGATTTCCTAAACACACACCCGAATGCAGCGCATCCACGTAGTGTCCTGGCGGGGGATTGCCTGGCACATTGGTTTTTAATCCGAAAGGCCCCTAGAGGGAGAGTCTCAAGGTTTCCCAGTGCCAGGAGATTGGCCGACCCTCACAGGACAGGTTACATTGTGGTGCCCCTAAATTGGCTTACAATTGTATGGGCGCAGAAAGAAAAGGTTCCCTGGGCCAACCGCAATGAGGTACAACTCGGGGGGGGGGGGGGGAGAACGGAGGATGAAACCCTGAGCAAGAAGGGCTAAAGACAAAGGGGTAATGGGTAGCCGCCACTGCCCGCTGGTCACAGGGAGAGGGACGGGGCGCATAATTGGCTGCGCGGTACGATACCACCCTGGGCCTTTGAAGTGAAGGAATTAGGCCAAGGTAGAGACGGTGGAAAGGGACGGCGGCGCGGGTAGACGCATGATTGGCCACGTGGTACAATGGCACCCCGGGCCTTTGAAGTAAGGATATAAAGGGAGTAGCCCGGGACGATTTGGGTGAGTTGTCTTCAACCTCAGGGCCGTCAAGACCCACTCCCGGCCATCCTGCCTCCTTGAGCCACTCGCAGCAGGCCAGCGAGTGCTGCTACGAGGCAGTGATAGGTGAAGTTTTCGCTCGTCCTTCTCCCTCCGATTCTCACAGCGTCTGTACGACGCCGTGGGTACAGCTACGAGGTACATGGTAGGACGTTCGAGTGGCTGGGTTCATAGGCAGAGTTAGGCCAAGCCCTTCCTGCGAAGTATTCCCCCTCCAAGTAGAGTTTATTTGCGCCGTTAATAAACTTTAGTTCAGAGCATCGGCACAGTGTGATTTCTGTGTGTGTGGGTAGAACGTCGGCGTGGGGTCTGTGATTTACGTGTGATGCGACTGCACGGGGGGACGATGTGTGCGAGAGAGTGAGCGTGGAGCTGCAGCGTGTGCGCGCGTGCTGAGAGGAAATCGTTGCAGGCGTGGGTGCGGTCATGCCGCGGTACGCCGCATTCGGGTGCGTGAACATGCGCAACAATAGCATTGACGGCGAGGCGCGCGCACAAATTCGCGCAGACCTTTAGCGCTAGCCTTTGTGTGCAAGCGGATTAGAGTTTAACTACCCAGAGGTGCACGCGCATATTCATACTGCCGTTTTCTTTAGTGCTAGCCTTTGTGCAAAACAAGCACCTGCAGGGGCGCGCGCGTGCACGCAGCTGCCTTTGTATTAGTGGTGGTGTACGTGGGCGTGTAAGAGATAACCCTGGGCGGTGGTGAGCCAGCCACTTAGCTATGTCCCTCAGAGAGGGCGCTGGCGCAGGTGGGCCGATCACCCGAACGGCGGGGGCTCGGCGAGAGGCGGCCGACAAGGAGGAGGGGGGAGTGGTGGGGGTGGATGACGCGCTCCGCCTGCTCAGGTTGCAGGGAGGTGTACGTTGGCCCCCACATACCTCCGCCAGTATGAGAGCGGACTGTGCCCTTAGCTCAACGTGGTTGGCTGCCCTGATAAGATGAAGGACTAACCAGGCTCACTGTAAGCTTCCAATTTCTGATGACATGGCACACATTGTGGTTGATTTCGTGAAGGAAAAACGAGTGAGTCATTACTGTATGATTAAATGTTGTGAAAGCACACCATTAGTCAAAGAGAGGAGTATGCAGCACATTGAGATTCATGCCATTTAATTTTATGTAGCAGGTTTGAAAATTAATTATTAAGCAAATTCATCGGCTGTTACAAAAGCAGACACGTCATTGCATTCAAAAGTCATTATGTGAGGAACTTCAACATAAAGCCAGGCAGTGCCACAGTGGGCAAGGAAGGTGGAGCAGCTGCCCAAATGGTGGAATGGATAGGAAGGAACCTTAAGCTAATGCATCTGTTTACCTTTCAGAGTATATTACGGATCCTAATGTAAAGGACACTACAAGTGCATCTGTGCCATTACCCACTCATACCTCTGCTGCTGCATACACCATCATTCTTGTGGCATGTATTATGAGGAAGGAAATATATATTTTTTATGTTGTACAAAATTGTCACAATTCCGATCTTGTCATGTCACGGGATGAAGATTACGTTTAGCTCAGTTGAGGGCACACTTTCACACAAGCCAGACGAAGTGATTGTTGCATGACAACTAAACGAATGTTTTATCTAATTATCAGAACTAGGTTTTAAACAAAGTGCGAAATAATATTCGCTAAATAAAAATTAATTAGTGACTCAGCTGAAATCGCCAACTCACTTTACTTGACATCCCGGTTTAATGATAGGGCGCTGCCCAGAAGCAACTCCGTGGTTCCAGCTTCGTTGTGACCCCTGAGCCATCTGGCAACCTCTTTCAATTTTAATGAATCGATGCATTGCAATATCCCAGGCATCCCTGTAAGATTCACATTTTTATATCATCACAATCCATGGGCATATAGCCCATAGGTGTCCACTGCACATTTCGTCATTTGTTTCCACTTTCCTCTGTCTTGTGCCAATACAATCAAGTAGTGCAACATCTTTCTGGCACCAATCTCTTATGTTGTCGTCAAGCCATTCTCTGTGAGGCCTTCTTCTCTTTCCAATTCCTCCCATTTTTCTGAACACCATACTTAAAATTTTCTTGTTATCCATCCTACATATGTGTCAAAATAGTGCCAGTTTCCTTCTCATCACTGCCTGCATCATCAGGTTGTTTTATTCTATGTGCAGCGTTTTTCTTGCTTCTACGTTAGTCACTCTTTGGGTCCAACTGAGATGCAGTATCCTGTAGGAATAATGATTTATGATGTATTCAAATAATATGAAAAATATATTATGTAGTAATATTTAGGCTAATAGATTAGAAAAATTGTACAAAGGAGGTGGGAAAAATTGCAACAATACAAACAGGATGCGAAAAGCAAGACAAAAAAAATACTCATTAAATCAAATCAAGAGCCTAATCACTGCTGTTGAATTGTTAAATACATAATATGGAGTTAGAGGCGATGCAGGCCAATTAACAAGACTGGTAATAGAATGCCAGGTAAGGAGAACACGTACCCAAGATAATTACCACGTTGTAGGTGGTGTGATGAGATTATGGTCTTCCCAAGATTCATAAAGAAGGCACCCCACTACGACCCATCGTATCCACGATCAACTCCCCTACCTATAGACTAGCCTGTTTTCTGTCAGATACCTTGCTGCCTTTCACTGGCAAGACCGCCTCAGCAGTACTTAACTCAGCCCAATTGGTCTCTATGGTCAAAGACGTTGTTCTGTCCCCTGACGATATCCTTTTCACCTTCGATGTGGTCTCTTTGATCACCATGATACCAATGAAATAATTGAAAATTTGGTCCAACATGGACTAGACCCCGATACACCTGCACTGGTTAGGCACTGCCTCAACAATACCTACTTTACTTGGAATGGCTCCTTCTACAAACAAAATGAGGGTACCCCCATAGGATCCCCCTTGTCACCAGTGATAGCCAATATTTTAATGGAGAAATTTGAATCAGACGCCATCCAGACTTCCACCCTCAGACCTTCCCTGTGGAAGAGATATGTAAACGACACTTTTGTCATTTGGCCACATGGCCTCCCGGCTTTGAACCTTTTCCTAGACCACATTAATTCCAGACACCCCGCCATCAAATTCACCATGGAAGTGGAGAAAGATGGCAAGCTGCCATTCTTGGATGTTCTGTTTGAGAGGAGACATGATGGCTCATTGGGACATTCTGTCACAGGAAACCCACCCACACAGATTCCTACTTGAAACCTGATTCCCACCACCACCAGACGCAAAAGAATTATCTCATCAAAACGTTATACCACAGGGCTCATTGCATTTCGGACCAACACCACCTGACCAGTGAATTAAAACATGTACATCTGGCCCTAAAAAGGAATGGATACTCTGACCGTACCATCCACCAAGCTGTTTCTCCCTCCATACAGAAACAACCACTTGATACTCCGATCAAAACCATCACACTACCATATATAGCAGGCGTTACTAAAAAGATCTCCAAAATTCTAAACAAACACAAGATCCTGGTCCGGTTCAATGCAGTACACAAAATCCGGGACCTGATCCCTTCCGTGAAGGATGTCATTCCTGACTTACAGTACCCCGGAGTTTACAAATTGATCTGCACCTGTGGTGACTGCTATATCGGGGAGACGAAACGACATGTCTCTGACCGAATTCGCGAGCACAAATCAGATTTGAAACACGGCAGAACGAATTCTTCTGCCTTAGCTGATCACTGTTACAACACTGTGGGTGATCACGATATAATTTTTCTCCGATACCAAGGTTCTTTGCAAACCCACGGGTTTTTATCAGAGATATGTTCACGAGGCAAATTCAGATTTACAGACACAATTTCAACCGAGAGGATGGTTTCAAATTAAGCAACCATTGGAAAGATGTTCTGAATCAAACCAAACATTAAACTAATTTTCAATGGTACAGTATATTTTTTCAAGTAGTGGTATCCCAAACTTTCGCAGCTGCTTAAATTCCCTTTTCACGCCATCAATATGTAAACTCCCCCCTCCCCCCCTCGCCGGTCTGCACATGCTCCCCCCCTGTACATCGTTTATCATGCTAAGTTCGCCAATTAAATGCTAATTTTTATGCTAATTCATTTGTCAAGGCGCTCTGCTTCCTCTCACACAGCTTAAAGGTCGCGGTCTGAGCTTGGCTGTGTTCACTCCAGCGCTGTCCTCTAGACAGTCTGGTCCCTTCACCTGATGAAGGCCACTTGTGTTGTGGCCGAAACGTCGTGATTTTTTTATTTTTTGTTGTTTTTTACGTGACTTTACCGAATAGAACCAGAGAGTATGGATCCTTGCAGTCACGAAAGCTTTAAATCTAGAAGTGATGAGATTAGTTTATTTGCACGAGTGAGATAGATTGCGGCATCAGAGCACGCAAGGCATGGCGACAGTGTGCGGTGGACTTAATCCAGCAGTGAATAGACCACCCCTCATATCTACATGAAGATAATTATTTGGCGAGATGACAATGGTTAATGATAACAATAATTGAATTGTCCTGCCCTTGCCACCTAAAGTCACTTATGATGCCAATGTAGTTACGAGGTTCAGCGCACTACACTGAACTACTGCTGTATTCTTAATTTAAATTTAGTGTGGAAAAGAGCGGATTGTGTAAGAAGATGCAGATATGAGGGGTTGTTGTTGGCATGATTTCCGATATTTTGCTCAACGTGCTGGTACCTTCAGTTCCTGAGCTATGCAGCACAACTGCTAAAAAAAACCTATACAGTAGTAAGTAGAGTTGAAAATCAGGACTTATCAGAGAAAGATGTCTCTTGTGAAGAGGAATCCATGAATTTTGCCTCTTAAACGTAAATGTTGCTTATTTGGGAAGGTGCCTCCTTCACTATGACTAAAACCAGAGTGATTAGAAGAGCGTCGATAACTAAGATGTGGTTTTGAAGTCCAGCGCTGCATACATTATTTCATCCGTGTTCAAATTCACCTATAGAACATCGCACACAGTGAATTAGTACATGCATAATTGCATTCAAAGGCAATATAATAACGTCATTGCTCACTGACAGCTGTGCACCATTACAGCAGGGGTTTATGAGAGATTGTCCTCTTTGAAAGATTAATTTAGTTTATTTAAAATGCTCATGTGTGCATTTGGCACGTAAATATATTGTCAAGTCACTTCTGGATTTGTAATACCTTATGGTTTAATTTTGTTTACATGGTATGAGTATCCCTCGATATACGGAACAGATACATTCTTGAAAAGTCCGAAAAGCAAAATTTAGTTTAAAAAAACAACCTCTATTTTCCCATTCACTTAAATTATGTAATTGGAATGCGTTCCTACCGAAATCATTTCGGTCACAGGGTGCATGAAATCACAATAAAAAATGCAGCAAACCTTTAGAAGCACATATTTAATGGAAATCGATTATAATAAATAATAAATCAAAATTAATAACTTGTGATCGCAATGTGAGGTGATGGTGTCCCCCATGTACTGAACTACACAATACAATACCAGGCGTGATCACCACACAAGACGGAAGCAATACAAGGCAAGCTTGGGCAGCACGAATAGCGTGGGAAACCAGGAGTGTGGAAAGTGTGCCTCGCAAGCCACCCGGAGTCGCTTGAAATGCACGCTAGTACAGACCTTGCATTCTCTTTGGTTCTTTCGGTAAAGTCACGTAGGTATAAAACAAAATAAATTAAATCACGACGTTTCAGGCGCAACACAAGCGTCCGTCATCAGGTGGGACAACCACAGCAGGAGCACTGCTGAAGTGAGCAAAAGGACTGCCGTAACACGAGGCTATGTAGGCAAGAGAGGGGGGGAGGGGCCAGGGAGGAGAGACAGAGGGGGGGTGGGGGTGGAGAGCTGCCGAGTGAAGACCAGCTAGAAGGGATTAAAGGGAATTGTCGGAGGGTTGGGAGGGGAAGAGAGCGGAGCTGGGAGTGGGGAGCTGAGGCAAAGCAAAAGGAGATGCGGATATGAAGGCAACACTATAAAGCATTTAAGATTTTACCTGGTTAATAAACCCTTCCAATGATTGCTCAATTTGTATCCATCTTGTCGGTTGAAATATCTGGATGGCTTCATGAACAAACCTTTGATAGTAGCCTGACGGTTTGCAGAGTACCTTGGTCTCGGAAAAAGCAATATCATGAGAGCCCACAGCGTTATAGCAATGGTCAGCCACGGTGGAGGAGTTAGTTCTGCCGTGTTTCAGATCTGCCTTGTGCTCGTGAACACGGTCCGATATATGTCGTTTCGTTTCCCCAATGTAACAATCACCACAAGTGCAACTTAGTTTGTATATTCCAGGATATTGCATGTCAGGAATAACTTCCTTCACAGATGGGATTAGATCACGGATTTTCAATTATGTAATTGGAATGCGTTCCTGCCGAAATAATTTCGGTCACAGGGTGCATGAAATCACAATAAAAATGCAGCAAACCTTTAGAAGCACATATTTAATGGGAATCGATTTTATTAAATAATAAGTCAAAATTAATAACTTGTGATTGCAATGTGAGGTGGAGGTGTCCCCCATGTACTGAACTACACAGTACAATACCAGGCGTGATCACCACACAAGACGGAAGCAATACAAGGCAAGCTTGGGCAGCACGAATAGCGTGGGAAACCAGGAGTGTGGAAAGTGTGCCTCGCAAGCCACCCGAAGTCGCTTGAAATGCACGCTAGTACAGACCTTGCATTCTCTTTGGTTCTTTCGGTAAAGTCACGTAGGTATAAAACAAAATAAATTAAATCACGACGTTTCGGGCGCAACACAAACATCCGTCATCAGGTGGAACAACCACAGCAGGAGCAACTGCTGAAGTGGGCAAAAGGACTGCCGTAACACGAGGCTATGTAGGCAAGAGAGGGGGGGAGGGGCCAGGGAGGAAAGACAGAGGGGGGGTGGGTAGAAGGTTTTAGAGAGAGCCGTTTGACTGCTGCTAGACCACCCAGATTCTATGGTCTTCCTAAGATCCAGGAAGAAGGCACTCCACTTTGGCCCATCGTTTCCACTATCAACTCACATACCTACAAACTGGCCCGTTTTCTGTCTGATACCTTGCTTCCATTCACTGGCAAGACTACCTCAGCAGTACATAACTCAGCTCACTTTGTCTCTCTAATCAAGGGCATTTCACTGTCCCTAGATTATTTTCTCGTCAGCTTTGATGTGGTTTCTCTGTTCACCAAGGTTCCTGTGTCTGACACCTTAGCAATAATTGAAGATTTAGTCAAACATGGACTGAACCCTGATGTTCCTACTCGAGTTAGGCACTGCCTTACCAACACTTACTTCACCTGGAATGGTACTTTCTACAAACAAAATAAAGGTACCCATAGGTTCCCCCTTATCACCAGTGATAGCGAATGTTTTCATGGAGAAATTTGAAACAGATGCCATCCAGACATCCACCCTATGTCCTTCCTTGTGGAAGAGATATGTGGATGACACTTTCGTCATTTGGCCACATGGCCGTCCAACATTGAACCAATTTCTCAACCACATTAATTCCATACACCCATCCATCAAATTCCCCATGCAAGTGGAGAAGGATGGTGAGCTACCATTCCTGGATGTTTTGTTTAAGAGACCTGATGGCTCTTTGGGACACTTTGTCTACAGGAAAGTCACCCACACAGATTCCTATCTGAAACCTGATTCCCACCACCATCCGGCACAGAAGAATTCCCTCATCAAAACACTACACCATAGGGCCCACTGAGTTTCTGACCAACACCACCTAGCCGGTCAACTGGAACATGTACACCAGGCCCTCAAGATGAATGGGTACTCGGACCGCATTATTCGCAAAGCTGTTTCTCCAACCATGGTTGTTTCTCCAACCATGGAGAAACAACCCCCTGAGACGCCGATCAAAACCATCACGTTACCATACATAGCAGGCATCACCAAAAATATTTCCAAAATCTTAAACAAACACAAGATTCAGGTCCGATTCAGTACAGTACACAAAATCCGTGATCTAATCCCATCTGTGAAGGATGTTATTCCTGATATGCAATATCCTGGAATATACAAACTAAGTTGCACTTGTGGTGATTGTTACATTGGGGAAACGAAACGACATATATCAGACCGTGTTCACGAGCACAAGGCAGATCTGAAACACGGCAGAACTAACTCCTCCACCGTGGCTGACCATTGCTATAACGCTGTGGGCTCTCATGATATTATATTCTTAGCTCTTTCGGTAAAGTCACGTTGAAGGGAAACAATAAAATAATAAAATATATATAAAACAATAACATTTCTCACGACGTTTCGACCATAACGCAAACGGTCATCATCAGGTGTGAAAAACCAACGGCAAGAAACATTTGAAAGAAGTGGCGGTTTGCATTTATTTATTTTTAATCGGTGTTTGTATTTATTTAGTTATAATAAAAAAAAACCCGTTTGCGCCACGGGCAGCGATTTGGCAGTTTATTTAGAAGGACGAGTCCATCTATGTTCTGAAAAGAGGAGGGGGGAGACGAAAAATTAATGTATGCTGTCTGAAAGCCACCATAAGCGTTAACAATCAATTAAGACCTGAAATGGTTTATCAAATCCGTCCAATGATTGCTAAGCCAGAATCCATCTTCTCGGTTGAAATTGTCTCTGTGCTTGTATATGTGGATAGCCTCATGAACGAATCTCTCATGGTAGCCAGATGGCTTACAAAGAACCTCTGTCTTGGAAAAGTCAATGTCATGTGAGCCTACTGAATTTTAACAATGATCTGCCACGGCCGAGGTGTTGGTCCTACCGTGTTCAGGTCTGCTTTGTGTTCACGAATGCGGTCCGAGACATGGCGTTTGGTTTCTCCAATGTAACTGCTACCACAGAGGCAATTTAGTTTGTAGACACCAGGGTACTGTATGTCCGGAATCACATATTTTACAGATGGAACCAGATCACGGATTTTATGTAATGTGTTGAAACGGACCTGGATCTTGTGTTTATTCAAGATTTTGGAGATATTTTTTGTGATCCCCGCAATGTAGGGTAAAGTGATGGTTTTGAAAGGCTCCTCAAGGGGGTCCTTCTTCATGGTTTGAGTGATAGCTTTGCGGATTGTATAGTCATCTGGCTACCATGAGAGATTCGTTCATGAGGCTATCCACATATACAAGCACAGAGACAATTTCAACCGAGAAGATGGATTCTGGCTTAGCAATCATTGGAAGGATTTGATAAACCATTTCAGGTCTTAATTGATTGTTCACGCTTACAGTGGCTTTCAGACAGCATACATTAATTTTTCGTCTCCCCCTTTCTCTTTTCAGAACATAGATGGGCTCGTCCTTCTAAATAAACTGCCAAATCGCTGCCCGTGGTGCTAACGGTTTTTAAAATAAATAAATAAATACATACACCGTTTTAAAATAAATAGATAGATAGGTGCGGACCACCACTTCTTTCAAATGTTTCTTGCCGTTGGTTTTTCACACCTGATGATGACCGTTTGCGTTATGGTCGAAACGTCGTAAGAATTATTGTTTTATATATATTTTATTATTTTATTGTTTCCCTTCAACGTTACTTTACCGAAAGAGCTAAGAATATGAATTACTGCAGTCACGAAAGCTTTAAATCAAAACTCTCATGATATTGTTTTTTCTGAGACCAAGGTACTCTGCAAACCGTCAGGCTACTATCAAAGGTTTGTTCATGAAGCCATCCAGATATATAAACATAGACAACTTCAACCGAGAAGATGGATACAAATTGAGCAATCATTGGAAGGATATTATTAACCAGGTAAAATCTTAAATGCTTTATGGTGTTGCCTTAATATCCGCATCTCCTTTTGCTTTGCCTCAGCTCCCCACTCCCAGCTCTGCTCTCTTCCCCTCCCCACCCCCCGACAATTCCCTTTAATCCCTTCTAGCTGGTCTTCACTCGGCAGCTCTCAACTCCCCCTACCCCACACCCAGCCCCTATCTGTCTCTCTTCCCTGCCCCCCCCCCCCTCTCTTGCCTATATAGCCTCGTGTTACGGCAGTCCTTCGACCCACTTCAGCAGTTGTTTGCTGCTGTGGTTGTCCCACCTGATGACAAACGCTTGTGTTGCGCCCGAAACGTTGTGATTTGATTTATTTTGTTTTCCACCTACGTGACTTTACCGAAAGAACCAAAGAGTATGGATCCCTGCAGTCACGAAAACTTCCAATATATACCTTGCATTTTTCGCTTTTCCCCCTGAATATTCTATAATTCAGAGATCCAACATTCCGTGAATGAGAATTTCATTTCAAAGATAATTCAAAGGAATATCTAATTCGTTCCATAATGTACAAGTTGTGTTTTATCGAAGTTCTGTGGATGAGTTTCAGTATGGGGGGTGATTGTGTATACAGTACATATTAAACTACATTCATGTCATTTTTCCATACATGGTTCGAAATATGGCTGTCAACGTAATTTTGAAAACACAGTCATTTGAGACTGTCAAATCTATGATGAATGTATTTCTTACCTTTGGGCCATCTTCTTCTGAAAACAGATTATTGTTCACAGTGTTAGGATATGGCATTATTTTAAACACTATATTTTCAAAACAACTTTTATGAAGCAGTGTCTATTGCAATATTATAAATGTAATAAAGAATTGTGTGAAATGTAATGATTACACATTTACCAGCATTTTTTGGTGTTCTCGTAAATTGAACTTGAGCGTAGTTGACTTCAGACTCCACCTCATCTGTTGGAATAGTATTCAAGTGTGCAGTTAGAGCAGATGTATGCCTGTGTATTGCAACAGAGCCAGCGCTTTGTGTAGTCGACACCACACCACTCAATTAATTTACAGCACTTTGTCAATCCAATGCTGCATGAAAGCCTCCTTATGCTGTCAAGTCATGGGGGTCGTTTGACCGTACTTCACCAAACTGGTCATTCAGAACCAGTTCAGAAAGCCATGGCTGTGAAATTAACCGAGGTCACCAGGTTAACATTGCAATGCACTGACTACTCAGCCACACTCAAATACCGTGACACATGCTTGTTGCTGTTCATGCTGGAAACCTGTAACTAATATCAATATATATTTTAAATCGCACTTTAATTTGATAAATTAGCAAATGCGCTGTCTTACTCATGAGCTCTGGTGAAGGCAAACATGTACTGTATGTGTCTTCTATGTTGTAGACTGGACAATGCCCTCTTTTAAGATGAAAAACACTTTATCCTATTTTTATTCCAACAGTGCTATTGAGATGAAAAAAATACACTTGGAGCTCTCGCAGCAAGCAGTGACTCCCCTGGTGTCAGATAACAGCCCCAAAAGATTATGTCACAGAAGTCACTTCAGGTTGCCTCTTAATCCTCACGAAAGGCACACTCCCCTAACGTGATAAATGCATGCCAATGAAACAAAATATGCTAATTCTGGGAGAAGCCAATTTAAATGAAAACAAATAATTAACATGACTGTTTTATTGTTGATGGTCTCATTGTTTAAAAAAAACTATAGACTTGTTACACCGGAGCACAGAATTTCATTATCGATAGCTGCCTGGATTCAAACCCACTTCAATAACGCTCTTTTTGAACACTTGTCTGGTGAGAGCTTGTGCAGTATTTTCAGTCCAAATTATTTTTTTTAACTAGATGAGACCACAACAGACCAGGATCGTCTAATTTTCAAAACAGACCTGGGATTTGTCAATGAGATAATGAATTGTTATTAAACATGTATTTATTTGCAAGTATTGCATGTAGTCCACTTATATTGCAGGGTTGGCTACATGTGGTGTGACATAGCGCTGACTGTTGGACAGCAGCAACAACTGCAGCTGGGCATTTAGCGCACACGCCGCTGAGCATATACGCGGGTGTGCCGGCAGGGTGGAGGTACTGGGGCAAGGGTCATGATAGACCTCGTGTGGAAGCCCCTGGAACCCTCTAGAGGGTTCGAGAAGGGAGGCGCGGCTAGGGCGGAGCCATGCCGCGCCGAGGGGAATATAAGCAGTGGAGAGCGAGAGCTCTGGGCTGCCGGTTCTGGGATTGGACTCGTCTCGTCATCGCTGTCGTCGCCCTCGTCGCTGCCGCCTTCGCCCAATCATTGTGCGGCCAGACAGTGGTTGGCTGTCCTGGTCGACGCTGTCGGTGCAACGTGGACAGGGTCGTGTCTGGGACAGGGCATGTGGCAGCGGGATCGTGTGTGAGAGAGAGAGAGGTGCCCGAGGGCAGAGCGCTGCCTCCTGCGACCACCTCGTCTCCGGCTGACTGTGTGTGCGACGCGTGCCACCCGCACGCACAGACAACACTACACATACTCTTTGGTTCTTATCGGTAAAGTCACGTAGGTAAAAATAAAATAACAAAAATCACGACGTTTCGGCCACAACACAAGTGGCCTTCATCAGGTGAAGGGACCGTGCTGTCATGAGGACAGCGTTGGAGTGAAAACAGCCAAGCCCAGGTCGCGTCCTTTAAGCTGTGTGGGAGGAAGCAAAAACGCTTTGACAAAGGAATTAGAATAAAAATTAGCATGATGTACGTAGGAGGTACATGGACCATGATGGACCAGGCGCGGGTGGGGACCATGACGGACCAGCATCGGGGGTGGGGGAGGGGAGTGAGTGAGTGGAGTGAGTGAGTGGAGTGAGTGAGTGGAGAGAAATAAGCAGCTGTGAAAGTTTGGGATGCCACTACTTGAAAAAAATATACTGTACCATTGAAAATTAGTTTAATGTTTGGTTTGATTTAGAACATCTTTCCAATTATTGCTTCATTTGAAACCATCCTCTCGGTTGAAATTGTGTCTGTGTTTGTAAATCTGAATTGCCTCGTGGACAAATCTCTGATAAAAACCCGTGGGTTTGCAGAGAACCTTGGTATCGGAGAAAACTATATCGTGATCACCCACAGCGTTGTAACAGTGGTCAACTACGGCAGAAGAATTCGTTCTGCCGTGTTTCAAATCTGATTTGTGCTCGCGAATTCGGTCAGAGACATGTCGCTTCGTCTCCCCGATATAGCAATCACCACAAGTGCAGCTCAATTTGTAAACCCCGGGGTACTGTAAGTCAGGAACGACATCCTTCACGGATGGGATCAGGTCACGGATTTTGTGTACTGTATTAAACCGGACCAGGATCTTGTGTTTGTTTAGAATTTTGGAGATCTTTTTAGTAACGCCTGCTATATATGCTAGTGTGATGGTTTTGACCGGAGTATCAAGTGGTTGTTTCTGTATGGAGGGAGAAACAGCTTGGCGGATGGTACGGTCAGAGTATCCGTTTCTCTTGAGGGCCAGGTGTACATGTTTTTATTCACTGGTCAGGTGGTGTTGGTCCGAAATGCAATGTGCCCTGTGGTATAACGTTTTGATGAGAGAATTCTTTTGAGCTGGGTGGTGGTAGGAATCAGGTTTCACATACACATTTACACTCGCTAATGAGACTGAATATTACAGAGTTCACGAGATTACTCGTTGAGCATGTTATGGGAGTGTGGCCAGTCAATATTTTCACGAATGTAGGGACCACGGCCACTTGTACTGTACCTGCAGAGGAATTGGGATTGCGTTGGTTGTCTTCACACCATCCCTCAACAATAATTTGCTGATTGCAAGGCACCTTTGCTTCCCCTTGGGGGTGGAGGGAATTTGGTTGTGGTTGAGAAGTAATATTAAGAGGAAATGTGCGATTAGCAGAAGTAAAAACATAGGTTAAGGTATCCATCTTAGATTCTGATGACAATAAAACGACTTTTCAAATTGTTGGCAATGCTTTTAAGCATGAACATTAAAAAAACATGTGAAATATGCAGTGATTATTTTATAAAATGCGGTGGATCAAGTGATGCCTTACCCATTGCTCTCACTTAGAATGTGATTCGTTGCTGCAAAAATATATACTTTTTTGCACTCCATTTTTGGCAGTCAATCCTATCATTTTTGGCAGTCAATCCTATCATCAAAAACTTGCAAAGCATAATGTGTTCCATACATTGGAAAGTATAAAACGAACACCAAAAGTATATTTACTGAGTCTTTAGAAGTAGGTGTATTTACCTTTGGGATGTCGTACGTAGCAGCATATGATGACGAATATGATGATCAAAAATGCAGTCATTCCGGCCATAATAACAAAGACTTTCAGTTTATCAGAGGCTGCAAGACAAATATATCAATACTTATGAAAATATAAATATCTATCTCTTTTCAACTCATGACTTGCCCTCAATACCAAAGTTTATTTTAATATATTGTTACATTTATTTTTGTAGAAAACACTAGTTGGCATACATTAATACTGTTTTGGACAATTGTGATATTTAAATGTCATGTGTACAAGTAAATGCCATACATTGTATTGTATAGCTCATAATTGACTTACCTAATTTTAATTTTGAGACTAAATTATGTGTTCAATGTGTTCATGTTTCACAGCAAACACAGTGTGTGATGCGTTAATTGCTTACACTGTTAGCTTTAGAATCCATACCTTTAGCTAAGTGTTAGTCCTAATTAGATTTTGTAGTTAAACATGAAAGTTGGACTATACCAAACAATGGACCATTTTGTAAAAAATTGCATTATACGTCCGCTCTCTCGTGGACTGGATAGTATTGGGCACGCTACTCCCGAACAGATCACTTAGCTCACATCCTTAAACCTGTATATATGATTATGCATACTTGACATAAGCTATTAGAAGAACATGACAGTTAATTGTTTTCAATGACAAATTATATTTGATGAGCATTGCTCAAGATTCTACATGCATGAGATTACTGTATTCTATGAGGTTCTTATATGAGGTTATTATATGACATTATTATATGAGGTTATTCTGAGATTATTCTATGAGATTATATGAGGATATTCTATGAGATTGTGAGGTTATTATATGAGAATGTTATATGAGATTATTATGAGGTTATTATATTAGCATGATATTATTATATGAGTTTGTTATCCGAGTTTATTCTATTAGGTTATTATACAAGGATATTCTATGAGCTTATTCTATGAGATTATTATGAGGTTATTTTTGAGGTTATTGTATGAGGTTATTATACAATGTTATTATTCAAGGTTATTCTAGGTTATTCTTCACAGGGCTGAATTAAGTTGGTGGTAGGGTGGGGCTGTTATCATTTTTGAGGGCCCCTCTGTAGAATACAATTCATCCCTCTTCTGTTTTACCACCCAATGTCAAACACTCCATTGTTATTTACCTTGGTTATTTAAGTTCAAGTTTTAAAATATCATATCAATTGTAAAGATAATCAAGGATAATATGAAAACTGTTCTGTCAGAGGATTTATCACAGTGCTCGAGCACTGCGTTACAACCATCAAAACACATTTTATATTTTCGGGGACGCTTCAAAATCCGACGCCCCAGGCTGCAGCCGCTGCAACCACTAGATTTGTCCGGCCCTGATAATTATATGCACAGCCTTTGTCGACCCACTGCTCGTGGGTATACTGGAGTTTCTACTGTTTAAAAAAAGTTGGGTTCCTAGCAAGGAGCGGTGCCTACCGACGGCCAGGGTCAGGGAGTTCGTCCCGTTGACTTGCTGCGCGTGCTTCTCTCCGCGCACCTGGCAGCGGTACTCGCCGGCCGTCTCGCCGCTCACCGTGAGGTGAAACCGGGCCGGGCCAGGCTCGCTCGCCCAGGCGGTGGCCACGGGGAGCCCGTCCCGGAGGAGCGAGTACCCTAGCGGTGCCGAGCCGTTGAGCGAGCGACACCGCAGCTGCACGGGCGTCCCCGAGGCCACATGCGGACCAGCCGGCTCCATGCTGATCTCAGGGGGGGAGATGAGCTCTTGCACACGGTAAAAACACGGGGCGGAGGAGGAAGGGAATGTAGAAAATGTAGAAACCACGGGGACAGGTATAAGTACCGGGTCATTGACGTAGGCCAAAACCGAGGTCCGAAATATCCATCTCGAGCAGATGTTGCTGGACAATGTGTTATCATGCAGATTAAAGTATTGTATTTTGGTAATATGGGTAAAGTGTCCCATTATATAAATTTTGATTTAAAGCTTTCGTGACTGCAGTAATTGATATTCTTAGTTCTTTCGGTAAAGTCACGTTGAAGGGAAACAACAAAATAATAAAATATATATCAAACAATAAAAATTCTCACGACGTTTCGACCATAACACAAACGGTCGTCTTCAGGTGTGTTGGTTTGCATACATTTATTTTTAAACGGTGCATTTATTTATTTAAAAAACGTTTGCGCCACGCGCAGCGATTTGGACGTTTATTTAGGACTAGTCCATCTATATTCTGAAAAGAGGAGGGGGGAGACGAATTTTTTTTTTAATGTATGCTGTCTGAAAGCCACTGTAAGCGTGAACAATCAATTAAGACCTGAAATGGTTTATCAAATCTTTCCAATGATTGCTAAGATAGAATCCATCTTCTTGGTTGAAATTGTCTCTGTGCTTGTATATGTGGATAGCCTCATGAACGAATCTCTCATGGTAGCCAGATGGCTTACAAAGAACCTCTGTCTTGGAAAAGTCAATGTCATGTGAGCCTACTGAATTATAACAATGATCTGCCACGGCCGAGGTGTTGGTCCTACCGTGTTTAAGGTCTGCTTTGTGTTCACGAATGCGGTGCCATGAGGCTATCCACATATACAAGCACAGAGACAATTTCAACCGAGAAGATGGATTCTATCTTAGCAATCATTGGAAATATTTGATAAACCATTTCAGGTCTTAATTGATTGTTCACGCTTACAGTGGCTTTCAGGCAGCATACATTAAAAAAAAATTCGTCTCCCCCCTCCTCTTTTCAGAATATAGATGGACTAGTCCTAAATAAACTGCCAAATCGCTGCGCGTGGCGCTAACGTTTTTTATAAATAAATAAATACACCATTTACAAATAAATTTATGCAAACCAACACACCTGAAGACGACCGTTTGTGTTATGGTCGAAACGTCGTGATAATTTTTATTGTTTTATATATATTTTATTATTTTGTTGTTTCCCTTCAACGTGACTTTACCGAAAGAACTAAGTATATGTCCCATTATATATCTATTTTTTTGGTTACCTGAATATATTTCAACTTCACACAGCGTCAGACTACATTGATCCATATTATAGACCTGGTTCCACTCTACGACTTGAATCTCTAGATAGCGAGCATATTCTCCACAATGAAACATCATCCACTTGTGTTTCTCGGAGTCAAAGTTGTGTTCTCCACACGTCACGTTTTGTGAATCGGTGTCATTTTTAGGAATGATCTGCAAAAGCACAAAGAGCAGTGAAAGGGGTCACTCTGGTCAATGGTGTCGATGCAAAACACTTCATTCAAACATCCCAGGGTTATGATCCTCCTGTAAATGTCTCAAGACTCGGTGACAGTTTCCTTGAAGAGCTCATTCTACTCACCCTGAACGTCTTCAGGCGTTTTCCCAATGGTAATATGCGGTTGGTAATGTTCACCCAGTCGACCTTGACAATGTTCACAAGGTCAACTCTCCACCAGTGCTGAGCTGTTGTGGGACAGAAAAGAACATCACACTGTAGTGGGCACTCTTCTTTCCACAATGCATGTCTGTTCACAGACATGCATTCATGAAGCATTTTGGCTTCCCATCTGCCTCAGTTTGGTCGAAGGCAGTGTTGTGAAAACTCCTCATTTTGCACGAAACCAGGGGCAACGATGGTGCCATTGAGGATGGGCATGACGCTACCCCCCACTCAGCACTGCTGGGCTGGGTCAAAGTGCTGAGTGATGCGGCAGGGCATGGTCACAGGAGTGTGGAATGTTACATGATCTCCGGAATGCAATTCGATTGAAGGGAGGGGGTCAATTGGGAGGGGAAGCTCGGAGTGGACGTGTTGACCAAAGCTGGGCTATCTGATTAATGAGTAATTCATGATTGCTTTTATTTCCCGACGAATCGAAAAACATGCAAATAGTTGTAGGGTAATAAAATTCTCACATGTTTTCACGTGTCGCTGTATGGGAGGTTGACTGCATTAAATGAGTATATGAAGCACCTCATATACTGTACATCATTGCAAAGACAAAGGTGAGAAGGTGTGATGTCTAAACTTACCCTCTAACACACACCTGTGCCATACCAAGCTTCATAGACATTCCTAACTGGATTGTAGCCTCTGTGGTCTATACGATATTTATTTGTGTACGTGCTTCTGTATCAAATTGGTTACTCTGTAAAACACACGATAGTATTCTACGCATGTGTAATGACCGAAAATTATCCCAAGACAATGTGCAGCCTAACGGATTTTCAAAGATAAAACCAAGGTATCCGATTGGAGGAAAGAGGCCTCCACAGGATTAATCAGGAGAGGGGCCTTTGAAGTGATTGGAGGAATTTTTTTGAATGAGAATAGGCGGGAAACAAAGTGGAACCCAGAGGCGACAGTTTGGATCCGTTAGAATGAAAGGACAGGGATTGACTAAGGGAAATACAGTGAGGAAACATTCGAGAAAGGGGGCTGAGGGATTTATAAGGGGAGAGCACGAGGAGTGGCGACGTTCGCAGAAAGATCCAAGCTGAAAAACAAGCACGAAGCCGAGGGTCCCTCATTTTGGAAGTCGTTAGCAGGGTTTCTTATTTTGTAAATTTTAAATAAAAGTGGTTCTTCATATAACTTGTCGTCGAGTCGTTACACATGGATGCAAACAAGACTGGCAAGCGCTATCAGTATATATACTCACTGTTATTGTTTGGATTCGTGTGAGAGCAATAAGGAAAATCCTGAACTGCAACCCCATCCACAGATTTGTTTGCTTGCCATTTCACATGTGGATAGTTGTCGTCTCCTATCCATGTGCTTGAGTGTTCTGCATTCTTATGTAAAGCCCAGTTAGAAGAAAGAATGGCACCTTAAAATAAACAGAAAAAGTGGTTATTGCAATGTCACAGTTATATTTTACTTACGAAGAACCTACGTTGAATTTTCAATCTACAGCAGTTAAACTAAAACATACCATCATTATTTTGGCTTGCCCTCCCCATCTTAAGAACACCCAGTTGCACTGGGTTGGAGTGGAGATGTTAAATATACCTCGTTAGTGAAGGAGCCCTTTCCATAAATATATTTTTATCCAATTTTAGCAAGAATCATTGAGATATTTCTTCAAGACGTCTGGCCAGCGTGGAATTGTTGGCCAAAGTAACCTCGAGTGGAGGCCCTTCCACCAGCAAGGGTGTGAACAAAATATTTCAGTGCTGCACTTTTACCTTTTCATGTAAAGCACCAGAGCCATTGTGACGTTTTTTGCATGTTTAGCACTCACGTTTGTAACGTACTTACAGTATTATGCCAATAAATGACATTTGAATCAGTAATAATTGATTACATAAAACAAATATGATCGGTTAAGACTGGTCACTAGTGGATATTTTGAGTTACGGTAGTGTATCAGTTCATAATTTGAATTGATGCATTTTGTGGCAGAACAAAAGAAATTGATTCAGATGACTGGGTGGCCATGCACCGTATTATATGTAATCGGAATATGGATCAGATTTCACACCAATATTTTTAGATCAGAAGTGAAGACAAATGTTGCAACTCACCAGTGTAGTTTTCTTCTTTTGCCCATGTGAGATCAAAAGCTGAAACAAGACAGTTTTAATTAATCCATGTTTTAACTCAGTGACGTGAAAAACTTGTAAGTAGTTTGCAATTCGATCTTTTGATAGTCTTAAAATAGAGTATTTGTGCATGTCTGCTGCTCTGTGAGTAAGATTAGCTAAATTAGGTGAAAGTTTTGCTACATTGCGTGTAGTGGTGGGAATTGCAGAAAATTCCACTGTCCTGCACTTTTGCTCCCAAGTCTATGCTCTTTAACTTCACCAACCCACACTGACCAACATCGTAAAGTATGGTCCAATAACCCCCGCGATCCACACAGTTTGGAGATGTCCTCATCCAGCATCGGATTGACAGAAGAGATGTAATGTGTATAAAAAAGATGCACTGTTAAAATGTGGAATGATGAGTAACTTACCCACAGCACAGAAGATCACCTGCAGCAGCATCCTGGACGTGTGGGGCTGTTGCTTGAAAGGCTTCTCCTTTTTTAAAACAGTCTGCCTCAGCAGCAGACCATGCTTTCCCACCTGATGATGGACGCTTGTGTTGCGCCCGAAACGTCGTAATTTATTTTATTTCATACCTACGTGACTTTACCGAAAGAACTAAAGAGTAAGGCTTCTCCTGTGTCGGAGCCCAGCCTGTGCTATGAAGGGCTACGCCCACACGCAAACGCTCTCCGACACGCACACATCCTCTAACAGATGGTTTCCTCACTTCCTTTGGGCTTTTTACTTCTGTTTTATATGCACGTTATACAGTGCAGTATTCTAGAAAATATGCAAAGAAATTAGATTCACCATTGTAAAAATCTAATTTCAAATATGTTTGCAAATCGTAGCAACCCTCAAAACGATGTTGTAAGTTTAGGTGCTGTATTGCATGCTGGTCCCCATGAGATGCATGCTTGGAACTATATTTAGAGCCAGAATTACATTGAATTACACTAAGAAACCTAAAGAGGAGCATGTGGGTCAGATAACAATAAAAGTGAGCATGGTCAGGACACGTTGCTATAAGGGATGATAGCCAGTTCTAGATTTGAAGCTTTCGTGACTGCAAGGATCCATACTCTTTGGTTCTATTCGGTAAAGTCACTTAGGTAAAAAAAAATCACGACGTTTCGGCCACAACACAAGCGGCCTTCATCAGGTGAAGGGACCAGCCTGTCTCGAAGACTGCGCTGGAGTGAAACAGAGCCAAGCTCAGACTACGACCTTTAAGCTGTGTGAGAGGGATTAAGGTGCCTCGACAAAGGAATTAGCATAAAAATTAGCATTTGATTGGCAGACTTAGCATGATGAAAGGTGTAGCACACGGCAGTGCACTTTTAAGCTGTGTGAGAGGGATTGAGGTACCTTGACAAAGGAATTAGCGTAAAAATTAGCATTTGATTGGCGGACTTAGCATGATGAAAGGTGTAGCACACGGCAGTGCACCTTTAAGCTGTGTGAGAGGGATTAAGGTGCCTTGACAAAGGAATTCGCGTAAAAATTAGCATTTGATTAGCGGACTTATCATGATGAAAGGGGTAGCACAGTGATCGGCACCGGTAGTGCACCCGCCTGTGCTGCAAAAGTTTGGGGTACCACTACTTGAAAAATTTAGTTTAATGTTTGGTTCGATTTATAACATCTTTCCAATGGTTGCTTAATTTGAAACCATCTTCTCGGTTGAAATTGTGTCTGTGTTTGTAGATCTGAATTGCCTCGTGAACAAATCTCTGATAAAAACCTGTGGGTTTGCTAAGAACCTTGGTATCGGAGAAAATTATATCGTGATCACCCACAGCGTTGTAACAGTGATCAGCCACGGCAGAAGAATTCGTTCTGCCGTGTTTCAAATCTGATTTGTGCTCGCGAATTCGGTCAGAGACATGTCGCTTCGTCTCCCCGATATAGCAATCACCGCAGGTACAACTCAATTTGTAAACCCCGGGGTACTGTAAGTCAGGAATGACATCGTTCACGGATAGGATTAGATCACGAATTTTATGTACTGTATTGAACCGGACCTGGATCTTGTGTTTGTTTAGAATTTTGGAAATCTTTTTAGTAACGCCTGCAATATATGGTAGTGTGATGGTTTTGACCGGAGTATCAAGTGGTTGTTTCTGTATGGAGGGAGAAACAGCTTGGCGGATTGTACGGTCAGAGAATCCATTCCTTTTGAGGGCCAGGTGTACATGTTTTAATTCACTGGTCAGGTGGTGTTGGTCTGAAATGCAATGAGCCCTATGGTATAAAGTTTTGATGAGAGAATTATTTTGGGCTGGGTGGTGGTGGGAATCAGGCTTCAAGGAGGAATCTGTGTGGGTGGGTTTCCTGTAGACAGAATGCCCCAATGAGCCATCAGGTCTCCTCTCAAACAGAACATCCAAGAATGGTAGCTTGCCATTTTTCTCCACTTCCATGGTGAATTTGATGGCGGGATGTCTGGAATTGATGTGGTGTAGGTAAAGGTTCAGAGCTGGGAGGCCATGTGGCCAAATGACGAAAGTGTCGGAGCCCAGCCTGTGCTATGAAGGGCTACGCCCACACGCAAACGCTCTCCGACACGCACACATCCTCTAACAGATGGTTTCCTCACTTCCTTTGGGCTTTTTACTTCTGTTTTATATGCACGTTATACAGTGCAGTATTCTAAAAAATATGCAAAGAAATTAGATTCACCATTGTAAAAATCTAATTTCAAATATGTTTGCAAATCGTAGCAACCCTCAAAACGATGTTGTAAGTTTAGGTGCTGTATTGCATGCTGGTCCCCATGAGATGCATGCTTGGAACTACATTTAGAGCCAGAATTACATTGAATTACACTAAGAAACCTAAAGAGGAGCATGTGGGTCAGATAACAATAAAAGTGAGCATGGTCAGGACACGTTGCTATAAGGGATGATAGCCAGTTCTAGATTTGAAGCTTTCGTGACTGCAAGGATCCATACTCTTTGGTTCTATTCGGTAAAGTCACTTAGGTAAAAAAAAATCACGACGTTTCGGCCACAACACAAGCGGCCTTCATCAGGTGAAGGGACCAGCCTGTCTCGAAGACTGCGCTGGAGTGAAACAGAGCCAAGCTCAGACTACGACCTTTAAGCTGTGTGAGAGGGATTAAGGTGCCTCGACAAAGGAATTAGCATAAAAATTAGCATTTGATTGGCAGACTTAGCATGATGAAAGGTGTAGCACACGGCAGTGCACTTTTAAGCTGTGTGAGAGGGATTGAGGTACCTTGACAAAGGAATTAGCGTAAAAATTAGCATTTGATTGGCGGACTTAGCATGATGAAAGGTGTAGCACACGGCAGTGCACCTTTAAGCTGTGTGAGAGGGATTAAGGTGCCTTGACAAAGGAATTCGCGTAAAAATTAGCATTTGATTAGCGGACTTATGATGAAAGGGGTAGCACAGTGATCGGCACCGGTAGTGCACCCGCCTGTGCTGCAAAAGTTTGGGGTACCACTACTTGAAAATTTTAGTTTAATGTTTGGTTCGGTTTATAACATCTTTCCAATGGTTGCTTAATTTGAAACCATCTTCTCGGTTGAAATTGTGTCTGTGTTTGTAGATCTGAATTGCCTCGTGAACAAATCTCTGATAAAAACCTGTGGGTTTGCTAAGAACCTTGGTATCGGAGAAAATTATATCGTGATCACCCACAGCGTTGTAACAGTGATCAGCCACGGCAGAAGAATTCGTTCTGCCGTGTTTCAAATCTGATTTGTGCTCGCGAATTCGGTCAGAGACATGTCACTTCGTCTCCCCGATATAGCAATCACCGCAGGTACAACTCAATTTGTAAACCCCGGGGTACTGTAAGTCAGGAATGACATCGTTCACGGATAGGATTAGATCACGAATTTTATGTACTGTATTGAACCGGACCTGGATCTTGTGTTTGTTTAGAATTTTGGAAATCTTTTTAGTAACGCCTGCAATATATGGTAGTGTGATGGTTTTGACCGGAGTATCAAGTGGTTGTTTCTGTATGGAGGGAGAAACAGCTTGGCGGATTGTACGGTCAGAGAATCCATTCCTTTTGAGGGCCAGGTGTACATGTTTTAATTCACTGGTCAGGTGGTGTTGGTCCGAAATGCAATGAGCCCTATGGTATAAAGTTTTGATGAGAGAATTATTTTGGGCTGGGTGGTGGTGGGAATCAGGCTTCAAGTAGGAATCTGTGTGGGTGGGTTTCCTGTAGACAGAATGCCCCAATGAGCCATCAGGTCTCCTCTCAAACAGAACATCCAAGAATGGTAGCTTGCCATTTTTCTCCACTTCCATGGTGAATTTGATGGCGGGATGTCTGGAATTGATGTGGTGTAGGTAAAGGTTCAGAGCTGGGAGGCCATGTGGCCAAATGACGAAAGTGTCATCCACATATCTCTTCCACAGGGAGGGTCTGAGGGTGGAAGTCTGGATGGCGTCCGATTCAAATTTCTCTATGAAAACATTGGCTATCACTGGTGACAAGGGGGAACCCATGGGAGTACCCTCATTTTGCGTCGCTCTCCAACACACCGGTGTGCTATACTAGTAACGAATTGGCATGTTCCGTTTACGTGACAAACGTTACTAATTGTCTGTGGGGTGGTGGCGGGTTTAACGACACCTTTATATATTCACGCGATCTAACCCCAAAACCTGTATTATGGAAAAACTCAACATATTAGTTACTTACTCTAACCCCTAAAAATGGCTTCCTCACGTACTCTGGGCTCTTTACTTGTGTTTAACATGCCCGAGTAAAAAACTATTTAAATCATGAAATATTATTTGAAATATAACGACCACCCTACTTCTAGATTTGAAGCTTTCGTGACTGCAAGGATTCATACTCTTTGTTATATTCGGTAAAGTCACGTAGGTAAAAAATCAATAAAATAAAATAAATTAATTTAGTTGTTTTTTCATTTATGTTATTTATTTTTTACCTACGTGACTTTACCGAAAAAAACAAGACGTATGACCACCCTACTATATATGTGTAGTGACGTTAAGGGTGTCACTATGGTGATGGCCCCAGGCACTGTCATAAGAGTGCGACTGTGCGCCTGGAACCTCTCTCTGGGGCCAGAGTGAGTGTGGCATGCGAACGGGCCCTAAGGGGTGTTGTATATGTCGGTTGTGAAAATTTTGCTGGCAGATACAGGCTCTTTCCGCTGCTGGAGGGCTGCGCCGCATGCGCTCTCTCCGTGGAGATGCGCACGGTCACGATCGCCGCTGGTTCGCTGGCAGCAGCAGGCTTTTTCCGCTGCTGTAGTAGCTGCCACATGCGCTCTTTCTGTGGAGATGCGAACGATCATGCTCTTTGCTGGTTCGCTGACTCTTTTGCTCACAGGTGGCTGGTCAGGCTCTTTCCGCTGCTGGATGGGCCAAGTCGGGCATGCTTGGCCGCTAGCAGCAGACGCTCTTGCTTGGTGGCACTGTTGCGCTGCAGCTGGAAGCTGACACTCGATGTAGAAATAAAAGTCTTTGAGCGATACTTCGTCTTTCAGCTCTGAACTCACACTCGTTGATACATCGCTACTCGGCGAGCCTCACCATTCTCAGTTGATCGCAGGGCCCCTTGGTGCCAGCCGCTCGCCGCCCTCTTCTGGCTCTCGCCGAGCTGTTCTCGTTGAACTGTCGAGAGCCTAATGTGTGTGTCGTGCTGCTGTTTTATCCGGAAAAAAAAAATCTCTCCCCTCTGCGCGTGAGGAGGGGGGGGGGTGTGCCTTCCGTGTCCGTGTGTGGGTGTGTCCGTGTGTGTGTGTG